CGGTCCTCCGGCAGCACCAGCCGGTTCCTCCCCTCGCGCTCAGCCCGGCACTCCGCGCACTCCAGCTCCCGCATGACCTGCCACGTCGCCCCGCGGAGCTTCATATCCGCCCACGCCGCGTCCAGCGTCCTGCACCTGTCTTCCTGGCACGCGCATCCAGCCGCAAACGGCCAGCACCCCGCGTGCGCCGTCGGCATGCCCATCAGGAAATGGCAGGACCCCCCCGACATGCGCCCCTCCCGCGCCTCCTGCAACACCGCCGTGTACCACGGATCCGCCGCCGCCCTCTTCTGGGCCACCAGCTCCCAGAAGTGCGTCAAACCGACGCGCGGATCGCTGCTCCAGAACAACTCCAGAGCTGCTCTTTCCTGGGGCGTCTTGCCATCCTTCGGCGGCAAAAACACTGCGGCAGAAGCAGGAATCGGTGGGATTTGGTAGAAGTCACCAAAGGCAAGAACGTTGTACCCGCCGAATGGCCTGTAAGTCTTGTCCGAACGACTGCGGCGCCGGTTCGCCTGCGCTGCGTCCGACAGGTGCTTGTCCAGCGCGCCCAGCAGAGCGTCCGCCACCATGCCTACCTCATCTATCAGAAGCCATCGCACTGCCTGATTTCGAATAAAAAGCACGTCCACGTCACTGTGAGACAAACTCCTGTCACCGCCCCCCACAGACACGTCGCCGCCTGAGTGAATTGCCACACAGCCCATCGCATGTGCCACTCTGTTCTGGAACGCGACGCAAAGGAACTGCGCTCCGTGCTCCCAGTGCAAGGCCTCCGTGAACATCCGGGTGATCCAGCGTATCAATCGGCTCTTCCCCGTCCCAGGACCCCCGTGAACAAAACCGCGAACGGGTTCTTCTCGAGCTTGCCGACCGGCGTGCCCCTTCTTCTTTCTTTCTCGAGCCGGAACTCGAGCTCGAACTCGACCCGCGCCCGCCGCATGACCTCCTCGATGACAGCCACGTCCTCTGGCTCCGGCGCCATGCTCTCCATCTGCAACCGCGCGAGCCACTCGTCCATCCTGCGCCCGTAGTCCGCGACGGACAGACTCGCGAACGGCATCGTCACTCCGCGGTAGGGAGCTGGTCGATCTTTCACCATGCTCCTTCTTCTTCGCGAACGCCTTCCGCAGCTCTTCGCTCGCAGGATACCCGCGGCTGTCGAACTCCACCTCTACGACGCGCTGCGCGACGCGTTCCCCCAGAGGTGGCGTCTGCCAGAGCGCCCGGCCCATGTTGATGATCTCTGCGTGGCGGCCAAGCCCCGTCGACTGTTCGGCTGCGTCCAACCGAGCCATCCCATTCAGCGCCCTGTGCACAACAACCATGGACCCTGCCCGCGTGTCCTCGTTCTTCCACGCCCCCTCGGAACTCCCGTCAGACGAGTCGACGTGCCCCCCCTGGCGACTGTGCACGCTGCGGCCAACAAGTTCACGATGTATCGCTGGCTCGTCTCCGACACTACGCACCCGTCCAAATACTTCTGCCGCGAGGCTCGATGCGAATAGTACGTCTCCAGCTTGACGACCTCCGCAGAGGGCCCCTTCGTTGTAACCCGGCGACGTTTCCCTGCAACTTCCGACCCCGTGCCCTCTCCCCGTGGCGTCTCTGCTGCCTCCGTGCCCCCCTGCCTGTTCAGCATGTCCAGCCACGCCGGGGCGCCCTCCCCGTCGACAGCCTTGCATGGCCCAAGATCGGACAGTGCAGGGCCCCACCACTTCGCGCCCACTTCTGCCAAGCACCACGGGCGCGTGTACACGCTCAGCCGACGCGCGTTCTCCTCCTGCGAGAGCGAAGTGCCAGGCGTCGGGCCAAACGCCCACGTGGGCAGCTGCAGGACGGCGCCTCCGCCCCCAACACCACGCGCGCCGAAGCCCCCGCAGCTCTGGGACATCTGGCAGCAAGATCCTCCCGAGCACCTCCACCGCCACGAAGTGGCCCCCGCTCTTGTAGCTGCACCGGATTCCTCCGTCGCGGCACTCTTTCGCATACCGACGCCCCGCATCTGTCAACGCTGCTCGACGCACCTCTTGCTGGCCCAGAGGGGGGTGGATCTTTTCCATGGGCCAGCGCAGTGACATCTCGCACGGGCTCAATACATCCACATTGTGGGCCGTGCCCCAAAACACGTGCATCAGCGCAAACGGAGCCTCCGTGCACATGAAGTTCAAGTTCTCCCTCCCCGGCCGCGTGCCCGATGCGACTGATCGGCCTACTGCTTTCCCCGTTTCGATCTCCTCGCGCTTCAGCAGGTCCACGGCAGGAAACCGCACCGTGGGGAACGTCCGAATGCACTCCGCCATGAGCGCGTCCGGGTGGTCCGCACGCAGCGATAACAGGCAGGACTCCAACGAAGATCGCACAATGCCCTTGCACTCGAGATCACGGACGAGGCGCCGAGAATAATGCTGGAACTCCTGCGCCGCCGTCCGGTTCGTTGACCGGGCTCCATCGGAGGCCACCTTCCTCTCCAACGTCGCGCTCAGCCTATGAATCTCCTTCTCCCCAATGTCCTGCATCTTCGACGAGTACCCGCCAAAGTACCCTGCCGCCAACGCCATGGCCGCTTGCAGATCGTTCGCCTGAGCTGCCAGGTCTCCGCCCGGGTAGCACGTTTGTCTTTTCGCGTCGAAAAACAATACCTCATGGGATTCGGGGGGTATAGGCAGGCGATGCGGGAACTTTATATCGGCGTTGCTGTCAAAAAAAAAAAAAACTAATCCCTCAGCCCAGTGCTCAACCGCATCCCACTCTGCCTCGCTAAGCTTGGACTCCCTAAAAAGCATGTACCCTTTTCAGTCCCTATGGCAAGATCATGTGCTTCCCGGGTTTTCGGAGACACATTCGCTTGCGAACGATGTATTTGACCAGGAGTTCATCTCGCTTGTGCTTGGTGTCGCCCGAGCAGAACAGCTTTTCAAATTCCGTCGGCAATATTTCTTTGTGTTACAGCGAGTTTGAGCACGGCCTGCCCGCTGTCCTCCGAAGTCATCCTTGGCGCACCGGTAGATACGGTATCCGCGTTGTGCTGTCAGGCTTCTGGTAGTCGCGACGCACATCTGCAGCTTCATCGTGTAGGGCCCTGAACGAATAGCAAGACCTTTCTCATCCCAAGTGGGAGATACGAATCTGCAGTATCTTCGGGGCCTCCGATTGTCAAGGACATTGCCCCGTGTGGCGATCAAATAATCTGGCAGCGGAATCCCCCCAATAAGTCGGAGTTAAAGGCGTAAAAGGCATAGCCTGCCCTCGCAGAGGCGAACCACGACCCCGCGCGAACCAACCTGATGAGGATGACTGCGCGTTGTGCTGTGTCTCCGTCCAGGGCTGTGAGAACCAGCGGGCCCAATCTTGTTCTGGCCAGCCAACGTCGTCACCTTCCCAAGGGACGTTTTCTCGTCCTCCGCCTCCTGCCCAAGGACCCCGTCCTGGTCGCAACCAACAATCTGCTGGAAGTTAGCCTATTGAGGCTGAGCGTCGTCTGGAAGATCCATGGCGGCGCTCGGTGCAAAAGGGTGGGAAACGGGAAAAACGGGAGAAGAGTATGGAATAGGTCACCCGATAATCGAGTGACAGGGGAGTCGGCGTGACTCTCCTCGTGGATCGCAACCACAAGCTGCGCTGCCACTGTGGAATGTATGGGAACAGCTGTATGGAATACAGAGAGACACGAAGTACAAGTAGGGGGGCCCGTGCTATGAGAGAACACGTCATCTTTCCTTTTACGGGGGCCGGGGCGCGCCCGTCGCCTGAGAGCCAGGTGACTCAACGGCCCTTGTGAGCCACAACGGCGGCATACAAGGTGGTCCATAGAGAGGCGCAGGAAGTGGAGAGGCTGACGTGGGCATGACAACCACACATGCAGAGGTCGAGGTGTATGCAAAGGCCTCTTGGAGAGCTCAGCTCTGCCGATCGCAAGGATTATGGCCGCAAGGATCGAAATAAGCTTCTGGATTTGAAAGGGTGGCACGTCAACGTTGAATCACATAGAAATAACATGTGTAACCTTCGACTCGCCCCTTGTGTAATCTGCCTCTCTTCTCGCTCAATCTTTTCTTTCCTCCTCCAACTCCTCCTCCCCTTTTCGCTTCTTCACCCATCATCCACCATTTCTTTTTGATGTGTCGCGGGGGCCCGCGAGGCAGTCACAAGGGGCGACCGCATATTTTCGGGAGGGCCCTGGAATTCAGGAGCGATGCCGCTGTGTTTCACTACGTCGCAGACGGCGGCACGTCCAGAAAAGGCATCTGCTACGAACCCTGCCGAGGAAACAACTTGCTGGAGCAGGAGCTGCAGATGGCGCGCTGACGCGCAGGAAAGTGCACCAAACGGCAGCATACAACACTTGAACCAAAAGGCTACATACATAGCAACCACCCTAATCGCATGGCCGGCTATTGTATAAGGCATCCTCGTCATCCTCCTATTTCTCATCCTCCTCATCCTCCTCATCATCATCACCACCACCATCATCATCGGCATCCTCATCCTCATCCTCATCCTCATCCTCATCATCCTCATAATCCTCATCATCCTCATCATCATCCTCCTCATGATCATCATCATCATCATCATCATCATCATCATCATCACCACCACCATCATCATCACCATCACCATCACCATCACCATCATCAGCATTAGCATCAGCATCAGCATCACCATCAACAACAGCCACAGCATCATCATCATCATCATCATCATCATCATCATCATCATCATCATCATCATCGTCATCATCATCATCACCATCATCATCACCATCACCATCATCATCATCATATTTTTCTTCTTCTTCTTCTTATTCTTCTTATTCTTCTTCTTCTTCATCATCATCATCATCATCTTCTTCTTTTTCATCATCATCATCATCATCATCATCATCATCATCATCATCATCATCATCATCATTGTCGCATCATTCCAATCCCCACATTATTGCTCATCTGCCTCCTCGCTGGGGTCTGCATTGCTTCCGTGCCTACTCTACCCCAGCGTTCCATTCGGCTGAGCAGTCTCGTCGAGCTGCATATCGTCGTTCCCCGCCAGAGTTGCCACCTCCACAACCTGGGTGAGGAAGCGGGAGGAGGAGAATGAACAGGAACGCGCGTGGCTGGGGAGGATGAGAAGGAGGATGAAAAGGAGGAACGGGAAGGGGTGGGAAATGGGATGGGGACCCAAAGGGAGGGACCCAAAGGGCGCAGGAGGGCGGAAGGGCAGCGGGGAACAATGCGTGAGCCCCCCCCCTCTAAGACGAAGCCAGGACAAGGATACATTCGGGCGAGGATAAATCGAGAACCTCTGAGATCCGGCGGTTCTGGAGGATGTCTCGGGCGTCGCGGCCTCCTCAGAGCGATCCGGAAAACTCGAAACGCCCTGGGAGCGTCCGGGAACGCTCTGGAATTTACCCTCGTCCTAGCCTCGTCCGATCTCCCCCGAGCCCAAAGATGGCACGCGGCTCGACAAGGAGGCCAGGAGAGGAGGCCGGAAGCAAGACGCGGGAGGCAAGGCTCGGGAGCTGGCCACGGATGAGTATCGTTTAATCGATCCCCATCCCCAGCGGCGTGGCCTGGGCCTCATTGGCCGATTTATCCCCCTAGATGGGGATATAAGTCGTTCCCTTCGAATTTCGAGGGGTGTATCCCCAACTGGGGTGATAATTTGGTGGGGGTCTCGAAGGGGACGGGGATGGGGATGGGGATCGGTTAAACGATACCGAACGGAGGAGGGCGGGCCCTGGCAGCAGGCACGGGGGCCCACCACGGAGCCAGCTTGTCCTCCCGAGCCAACTGCTCTGCAGGGCCCAGGGTCCCCCGGAGGGAGCCCGAGTGATGGGCGTGTTTTCCACCACCACCACCACCATGGATTGGAGGGGGGGTCCTCCTTCAAGCTCCTTGCAGCTGCGGAACGTCTGCCTCCAGATGAAGCGCGACGCTCAAGGTGAAAATAATTAAATTGGGGAATCGTGAAGCGGAAGGATCGGCCCACCACGCGGCTGGTGGACGTATCCTTCTCCTCCTCCTCCTCCTCCTCCTCCTCATCCTCTTCGTCCTCCTCCTCGCCCTCCTCCTCCTTCCCCCGCCCCAACGTATGGTGGTGGTGGTGGCGGAACACAGGCTCATCACCGAGGGCGGCGAGCAGGCTGCAGGGCCCGCCTCTTCCAGGGGCCCCGCTGCCTGGCACGCCCGAGGCGGGGCGGAGGCGGTTGGGGCCCACGAGCGGCGAGCGCACGGTCGGACCTGAAGGGGCCCTGGGACACACGAGCAAGTAGACACAACTAACAGGAGCCCCCGGACTTTCCAATATTTTCTGGGTTTTCGTCTTCCCCCCCGCTTCCAATATTCTCTGGGGAATCGACGATTAAGTGTGTCTGTGTGTTTGTCCCCTCCTGAGGACCGAGGTATAGGATCGAGGTCGGCGAGGGGAGGGTACCCTGATGTTATTTGCGTTCGGTTCTGGCCGGCGGAGGGCCTCGTGCTCTTGAGATGTGTTATCATGTCCTGGGTTCGGCCGTAGCCGTATCCACATCCGCGCCCTCGCGGTCTGGATTTCGGGGCGCGATCCCGCGGACAGCGCGGCTGCCGCTGGCAGAACGCGCCGTATCCGCGGGGTCGCGGTCCAGGAGCTTGGCCCGCGAGGTCGCGGATACGAAATTATGTTGTTCGCCCACGGGGAACGATGCCCAACAACGGATGTTGCCAATTAGCCGACAGCCGCCGCTGCTGGGCAGGCGGGCGTCCAAGACTGAACGCGTCCTCGGCGGCACCGACAGCGAGCCCTGCTTATTAGTGGGCAGGGACTGCGATTGGTGTTCGTCCCCGATCCTTTCAAAAAGGAGGCCGCTAGGGACAATTTTGGCATCCTCGGAACGCTCTCGACGAGGCGCAACTGAGCCGATGAAAACCACCCCGGGGCCTAAAGCACCTCCGAACACTTCCTGGAGAGACCTCTTGCCATGAAGGACCCCACATCCTTGAAGGGGAACGATAGGAAGGACCAGCTCAGAAAGGGGCGGGCATCGAGCTTGCATCGGCGATACATCGCCGATATATCGGCGGTTGGCCCCCGATCTCTCTCTCTCTCATTCTCTATGTGTGTATACACATCTATTCAGATATGTGTGTCTGTCTGCAAGCATGGATGCATGTGTGTATGCGTGTATGTACGTAAGTCTGGACATACGTACGTACGTACGTATGTACGGATGCACGTATGTATGTATGTGTACATGTTTATGTGTATGCGTATGTGTATGTGTATGTGCATGCGTATGTGTATGTGTGTGCATGCGTGTATGCATGTATGCATGCATGGATGCGCGCATGCATGCCTGCCTGCCTATCTGACTGTCTGCCTGTCTGCCTGTCGGTCTGTGTGTATGTGTGTGTATGCATGCATGTCTGCATGTCTGAAGGTATGCACGCATGTGTCTCTGGGTGCTCTGGTGCATTCGAACGGCCAAGTGCCTGCGCCGCACGGCCGTCTCAGGGCTCTCGGGGGCGGCCGACCGCCTGCCGGAGCCCGCACGGGGAGGCCGGGGGCGCCAATCGCGCCCGGCCAGGACGGGCGCAGCGGCCGCGCACCTCCCATCCATTCACGACTCGAGAGGCTTGCCCGACTGGGGCTCACGCCCGCTCGTGATGCCGCGCAGCCTCCTCTGACACTCACGGTCGCGGGCGTCGCTCGGGTCGGCCCGCCTGCAGGGGGCCCGCGGGGCGCCTGGCCACCTGCTTGTGGTAGGAGCCGCACACGACACAGACGACGAACTGGCCGACAATCTCGACCGCGTGGGCCAACGGCGGCGGCGGGGCAGCACTGGGCGGGTTCTGCAGCGGCTGCGCCTCCAGGCGGGGCTCCGCCGACGCTGCCCTCAGGTCAAGCGCGCCGCGCCCCGCCGCCGAACCAGAGGGGAACCCTGCAGCCCGCGTGGACGCCGAAGCCGAAGAACTTGGGGTCTTACCACCATGTTTCAGGCTGCACTTTCCACCAAAAACGTGATGCGGGCCGCCCGACGCGGGCCCGCTGACCTCGGCATCCGCTCCAGGCAGCGCCGAGGAGCCGAGGTCTTGCGCCGCTATGGTGGCCTCGCTGGGGCCGTCCACGCCCGTCGACATGGCCAGCGCGGCGCCCTCAACTGCCCGAGGAGGGTCAGGCAACGCGTCCAAGGAGTTCGCCTACCAGTCGTTCTTAGCAGGTTGGGGGTCAGAATGTGTAGCCCTGCGCCAACCTTCAGGCTGGGCTGGACCGTCGCGCAGAAGGCGATCTCCAAGTGGCCGACGGACTCCTGGTGGCTCACGGACCCCAAGTGGAAAACGACCCCCAGGTGGTCCACTGCCTTCTCGTGGCGCACGCTCCCCTGGAGGAGGTTGACTTCCAGGTAAATGGTGCGCGCGTGGGTCTGGTCGCCTCGGGCTCGACAGCGAGCGCTCGGTAGAAGGCGGCCTCGAGCTCGATGGGAGGAGGGGGGGAGGCGACGTGCCCCGCTTCGAGGCTCCGGCCCCGCGCGGCGACTTCGAGCCTGAGGCGTTCCCTTCCCTGGGGGCTTCCTCAGGACTTTGCGTTCCGAGGCGCCCAACTCGACGCGGCGACTTCGTGCCCGAGGCGTTCCCTCACGTGGGGGCCTCCTCAGGGCTTTGGTGACTACCTACCAGACCACCCCAACCCAACCCGAAGACCCGAATTTCGGGTTGGGGGGGTATGGGTTCCATATGTGTTTTTGTCGATGTTCCCGGACCCCCCCCCCACTAGAAATCGAGGGTAAATCTGAGCCTTCGGGTTGGGTTGGGGTGGTTTGGTGGGTGGTGATTTGGGCCGCGACCCCGTCGAGGCAGGCCGAGGCGTCGGCGTCGAGCCGGCCGCTCCGCAGCTCCGACGCACGCGCACCGCGGTGGAGGCCCCCGCGACTGACCACTGCGCCCTGCTCGGAGCCGCGGGTGGAAGCCCAGCTCGGATGCAGCGCAAGCTCACGCGCGCTGCGACGGTGGCCCCCGCGACTCTCCACTCCGAAGCTCGCCAGGCAGCCCTCGAACACTGGCCATCGCTCGGACGTCCATTCCCTGTGTCTTCTTCGGTTTCGTGCGTGGCTTTTTCGCCAAATGATCAAGGATGCTCCTCGATTGTCCTCGCCGAGGGAAAAATGCACACGTCCGAGCGATACAAAGAACATCGCCCCGCCCCGCCGTTGATGATGCGGGGGCCGCTACCCTCGCGCTCTGACTGCGCAGCGGTCGCCGCAACCGCGGCGCCTCGAGGCGCGGGGCCCGCCGAGGACCCGCCCGTGGGACAACCGTCCGCTGGCGCGACTGACGGGCCAGGAGAAGGCTGCGGCCCCTTCCGCCGGCCTGCCCGCCGGAGAAGGCGGGGTCGGCTCGAACTCCCTGTTGCGGAGTCCTGCGGGAACATCGCCACTGCGTTGTCCAGCTCGCGAGAGCCAAACAGCTCTGTTATAGAGGGTCCGATGCGGGGCCCATGCTTAACGCTCTTGGGCCCCACCTGCTCGCCCTTCACAGCTGTGAAGGCCCATGTCGCAGACTCCCCTGATTGAACCCGTGAGCAGCGTTTCCTCGAGGAAGGGACCGACGAGGCGGACGGGGCGGCCCATCGGGGGGGCCGCTCTCCCTCCGCGCGGGTCTGAGGCCGAGCCGGATCACATAGACTGGCAGCTCAAACTGGCCAAGAATGTCTCTCGACTCGCCGCCGGACTTTTACCCTCGTGGCCCGAGCTCGACTTGAACGGGGTCGAATTCGTGGCCCCTGCCAAAGTCGCGGAACCCCCGCCCCCACCTGCCGAGCAGTACCATCATGAGTGGATTCGGTGTGCCACGTTCTGGCGTTGCGCTTCCTGCCTCCGCTCCCGTCGCACGGACAAACAGCCTGCAGGCGAGGGGTGCTCTGGCCAGCCTCCAAAAGTGGCGCTCGCCCTTCAGTGTTCCAATGCCAGTCTGCTGTATTTCTGCCACCTCTGCTGCGGATATAGCTGCGGAGGTCGTTTCAAGAAGCTGCGCAATTTCTGCAAGCCTGAGGCCAAGGGGGCCAGGTCTAAATACGCAGCGTCAGTCTTGAGGGCT